TGGCCCGGGCCATCAGTAGCTTAAAGCCATTACTGTCTATTGGCTGTTTGGTTTGTCTGAAATATGGGGCTGGCTTCAGCCTATTTCCCTGGGGTCAGGTGTGTTCACATAATCAAAGTGCCCGGAACCCATATCGCATGCAAGCGTGTATGTTCAAATTAGCCTTCTCCGGGGAGGAATTCACCGCGCCAGGAATACGCACAGAGAAGTTCTTTTGCACTTTTGCATTTTAAAACATGCATCGCTTACGAGCGCAGAGTTTTCAAACCTTTTCATGAGATCAGCTCCTTCAGTTCCTTGTGCTTTTGAAGATGACCGTTTGTGAAGCTGTCAGCCAGTGGCAAAGTGAAGCAAAAGGAAGATTTCTGCCTGGGAATCTCACTGGGCCAGCGCGGTTCCCATGGTCTATTCAGAGGAGGGCGATAGCTTCTGTTCCCTTGAATTAAAAGTTGCAGACAAATATATTTTCACTAATTTTCTTTATCTATAAAACCTGTGAAAGGTATGTCATATGTATGTAAACGATTGCTTTGCCACAATCGAAAAAAAGACGCTGGTTCACTTAACAGTGAATTAAAACAAGGAAAATTGATACGTGACTAGAAATAAAGAAATTAAAGTGAAAAATAGGCTCAGGGTAGGTTCTAGGGCTAATAATTTAAGAAGAGAACATGTGGTTTAACTCTTTTTGCCGCTCTAAGGGGATGTGAGATTTGTATTTCTCTTTTCACTGAAACCAGATCTTGAGACACGCTTTTCATTCGTACTTGAAACTTGATGAACTGTTTGGCTTTATATTAATTTTTTCGATTATAAGTGTGGGAAGTGAATTCGTTGATAACTCTTTTCAAGTGAATGAACTGATAGATTAGAACCAGAAGGGCTGAGAGTCACTTTTATTTTAAAATTCTTTTTGCATGAACACATCTGTAGTGTTGAGGAGTACATGGAAAATTGAAATATTGCTTCTCTCCTACCACGTCTCCAGTGCCTCGATAAATCACCTTTTTTTTTCCTTTTAAAATGTCTGGCCTTATAATTGATGTTTGCATAACCCATTACTAAATTCATAGTAGGTGTTTTACTTAGCAGGCATTATTCCAGAGGTTTGGAGGAGTTTAAAAAAAATCCAGAACCTTCGTTAGTATTTATACTAAGTGGACACTTCCCTTTTTTAACCAAAAAAAAAGTTAGATTTTTTAAAAAGCATTTGGAGCTAGCCATTTACCTTTTTCCTAGGCAGACACCATAGAATCCGTATCCCACATTAATCATTGTCTTAATGGACTTTACAGCTTTTGTTTTTCTTTTTTTTTTTTTTTTCAAAATTAAAAGTGGCTGAAAAAAAATGCCTCTGATATTAAGAGTGGATGAATTTCTGTGGAGTTTTCAGGAGGTATCATGTTGTATAGGAAGTAAACATTTTTCCGTTTCCGTGATTTTTAGATTTCTCGCCTCCCGTTGGCTGTTTTGATCATAAAGCGGAGATGAATATATTCATTCATTTACTGCACTCGGTGGTTCTCGAACAGAAATAGAAATGTTCTGGGTTTGTTCGCATGCTTGTGGCTTACCTTTGAGACTTTCTAATTTTTAACCAGACATTTAAAAATAGCCATTCTGTCTTTTAGCCCTAATTTAGAAAAACTTGCAGCGCTTTCCTTTGAAATGATGAAAAAAAGTTCTTTCGGTTTTCTGTCATCAAAGTTTATAAAGCGATGTTGGGGTATTTTAAAAGCCGGAAAGACCATGTATGGCACGCCGGGGAAGTGTGCTTCGTTTGATCATCCTTCCCTTCCCCTCACCCCCATCAGCCGGCGGATGGTGTTTTCCATGTAAAATCTGTATCACAGCATGTTGAAATCCCTGTGGTTAATCAGAAGAGAAGTCGTTTCTATCCCATGGAACCTTATTATATCTGTCAGGAGGTTCGCGGTATCTTTAGTCTCTTTGTGAAATAGAATGCTTATTATTGTTCAAAGGATAATAGTGTGTTAAACAGAAAATCAGAATTCACCACGCTGTAACCATGATCTAAAGGTCGAGCTGCGCAGTACAAGTTTGAAAATCTCTGTCTGACTTCCTTTCCACCTCAGTTAGAGCCTAAGAGTCAGGACGGTTTTGTCTCATTTTTGTTTGTTTCAGAGGTAGCATACTTGATGTTTTAAAAAGTTGCCTTCTTTTCACGCTGATGCCCTTTCGTTATCAGAGATGTTTATTCTAATTGTAACTCTCTGCAAACCTTCAATACTTAACAGAATAATTTAGTTTGGGTTCAAAGAAGTGCTCTTCTATTTCTGTATTTGTTTCTAGAAACTTTGGGGTGGGGGGATTATTGTTCCTTCTTCCTGGCAATGTGCAGGGTTTCATGAATCTGTCTGACTTTCAAAAGCTCAGCTCTCAGTCCCGAGCCTCTCCTGAGTTAGAGAAAGGGTTTTGCAGCTTTCCGTAGACAAGAAGCACATTTTACGGCTGTTCGTGAAGTGCCTTCGCTGCTCCGTCCACCTCTTCATCCTCTTCCTCCTTCCCAGTTTCTGGGCTCCCTGGCTCTGGTCATGAGGCTTGCAGTTTTGTGTCCCAGAAAGCGCTCCCCCTGGGGATGGTGCCATGCCAATGCTAGGAGAAAGGAAAAGGAGGTGTTTATCGCCCTGAAGATGCCTTCCAGCCTTTATTATTAACTCCCTTGCAAAGTAAACTTTCAGGTTTGTTTCAAGTCAGTTCTGGCCAAAGTACAGTTGGGTTTGCCGTGTTCTCTAGGAGTGGAGGTGAAAACAGCATTGCCCTGCGTAAAAAGCAGGAGGATGAAGAGGAGGAGGAGGAGGAAGGGTCCACGTATAGCAGTGGGTGGAGGAGAGCTGTGAGACAGATCTGACTTGGAGACTGTCATGCGTGGACAGATAAGGCCCGGCTCTGTACGCATTTTCACAGCTCCATGTCCTGCTGTCGGACCTGCTGGCACATCTGCTGTGGTGCCCTGTGCTTCTCCCGGCCCAGCTGGGGAGGTTGTCATGGTATCCACTTCTGATCTAAAGTAGTAAATGAAACTCTTGAGAGAGCAGCATCCAGTGAATGTTTGGAGCAAGAGACAGGGCTCTGGGGTTGTGTAGGAACCTGGACCTGGTGTGGCAGCAGTGTGGGGCTGTCACAAGCTGTGGGGAGTCTGGGGTGGTGTTGGGGACCGCGCACAATGGTGGGGCTCAGGCCAAGTGTAGCTTGGACTTCAGTCCGTCTGAGGCCTTGCCAAGTGTCAGAGGGTACACACTTGGGAGTAATGTGGCCAGACTCGCATTTCCAGACGACGTTACAATCTACAGTGTGGCAGCAGCTGGATGTCTAGGGACAGAGGTGGAGCCGGAACAGCTGGGACACTGTTTTACAGGACTCGGCGAGAAACACGCTCTTAAAACAAGGAAGCGGTGGTTATGTCTTATGCGTTCGAAAACAGTAAGTTGTGGACCAGTTATGTGTCTGGCAGTTGCAGGCCCCGAGGCTGCAGCTGTGAGCAGAAGGCCAAGGTCCCTGCCCTCATGGTGCTTGTTCCAGGAGAGCCAGGTGAGGGATTCTGACTGTGGAACTGGGGGCATAGAGATTGAGTTTGGAAAGCACTTTGCTGAGAAGGATGGGGCGTTGGGGAGGAGGTAGGGGGCATCTGTAGACCGACCAGGTTAAGAGCGTGGACTTCCCCATCTGGACAAGGGGGAGCCCCAGGCTTGTTTCCAGGTGGGACGGGGGTGGGAAGAAAGAGAGCATTCCAAGAGAGGCACGAACGTCATTCCAGAGCGAGATGAAGGTCACAGAGTTTGGGAGGAGATGGGATCGGGCACCCTGGCTGGCGGGCAACCAGAAGGGAACTCAGGGAGATAGGAACCCCGGGGAGGAAGCTAAGGCAGGATCCCCTGGGAGTTTTTCTGAATAAGTAGGAAAAAGGTTGTCCTTCAAGGATGAGCAGGGGCTAAGTGCAGGGGACAGAAGAGAGGAAAGCCCCGTAACCTTCATGCCCGGCTGCTGTGGGTGGTCTGGATTGGAGGCGGCAGCCGGGCTGTGTTTGTGCAGAGGGTGGCAGGGGGCCAGCAGAGGAAGCTGCCCGGGCGCCAGCCCTGCCGTCCCACCAGCCTCCTCGCTTTGGAGTTCTGCCTTCTGCCCTGGCCACGTGGGACCGGCTGCTTGGAGGTCACGCCGTCAGGGTTCCTGGCCCTCAGAACTGTAATGGTTAAGCAGGCAGCTTCATTTGCAGGCACGCAGCTACCCCGTGTCAGCGTTTTCCTAACGTGGCTGATCATCTGAACCTCCCGGGTGTGTGTGTACTTGTTAAAAATACTGTCCCTGGGCCCCACCCTAGACTTAGTGAGACACAGTCACCTGGGAAGGGCCTGGGGCCTTGCATTTAGAAGCAGCTCCTGGAATGCTTCCTTGGAGGCCACTTTGGGCCCCTTCCCTCCGCGGCCTCCTTCTGCGTCCCTTCCTCCAGATGCTGACTGAGGATGTGTCCCCTGCCAGGGCTGTGCATGCCTCTTGTGTCTGTCACAAAGTAGGTGCCTGGGGAGTGTGTGCTGTGTGGCCCCCTGAGGACCTTGTTCTGGGGTGTCAGTGCCCCAGCCCCCGGCTCCTCCCCCTGTGAAAGATGTTAGATCCTGGAGAAGCTCAGGTGGTGGAAATGAATCTTCCCATCAATGTTCAGACCTAGAAGTAGTCTCCGGGTTATCATAGCACATGACAGAGATAGAGGCAGGACCTGGTGGTTATGGGATTATTTTTCAGCAAAGATCGCCCAATCTTTGGCATAGGCCAGGGTTATTCACATGTCCAAGCCCCTGGAAGTGGGGTGTGAGGAGGTCCTGGGGACCCTTCACAATAAAGGAAAAGATAGAAATCAAGTCTTTTTTTTTTTTGAGACGGAGTTTCGCTCTTGCTACCCAGGCTGGAGTGCAATGGCGCGATCTCGGCTCACCGCAACCTCCGCCTCCTGGGTTCAGGCGATTCTCCTGCCTCAGCCTCCCAAGTAGCTGGGATTACAGGCACACGCCACCACACCCAGCTAATTTTTTTTGTATTTTTAGTAGAGACGGGGTTTCACCATGTTGGTCAGGCTGGTCTCGAACTCCTGACCTCAAGTGATTCACCTTAGCCTCCAAAAGTGCTGGGATTACAGGCGGGAGCCACCGCACCTGGCCTAATGATACTCATCAGTAGATTTCTGCTTACTCACTTTCTAGCAAATGTGAGTTCAGCAGACACCAGAGATTTTTATAAATCATAGGAGACAGTTTTTAACGTCGAGAAGATTCTGTTAACTCATCTGTTCTACCCACACTCTTGCCCTTCCTCCACCTCACAGAAAAGCCAGGGGAAGGGTGAGTAATTGAATTACAGGTGGCAGTGAATATTCGGATTAATGATATCAGGCAGTACAAAAGGTTGATATGTTTTTATGGTGTTTTTTTTTTTTTTTTTGAGACACAGTCTTGTTCTATCACTCATGCTGGAATGCAGTGGCGTGATCATAGCTCACTGCAGCCTCGACCTCCCAGGCTCAAGCAGTCCTCCCACCTCAGCCACCTGGGTAGCTGGGACCACAGGCGTGTGCCACCACACCGACCTAAATTTTTGCAGAGAAAGGGTCTCACTATGTTGCCCAGGCTAGTCTCAAACTCTGGGGCTCAAATGATCTTCCTTTGTCGGCCTCCCAAAGTGCTGCAGTTACAGGCATGAGCCACTGCGCCCAGCTGCTGTCCACCATGTTTGGAGGCTGGTTTTGGTTACACTTCATCCTTATCTCCTGGCATGGAGATACTGGTGTAAATCAGCTCTTCATTGAGGGGAGAGATCTTTTTTAAGTCAGATTGACACTCAGTAAGATTCACCCTTTTCAGGTGTCCACTTTGATGAATTTTGACAATCATGTACAATCATGTGCCACCACCACTATTAAGATAAAGGACACACCTGATGTGGTGGCTCACACCGGTAATCCCAGCAGTTTGGGAGGCCAGGGTAGGATCACCCGAGTTCGAGATCAGGAGTTCGAGACTAGCTTGGCCAACATGGCGAAAGCCTGTCTTTACTAAAAACACAAAAATTAGGTGAGCATGGTGGCTCATGCCTGTAACCCCAGCTCTTTGGGAGGCCAAGGCAGGTGGATCACTTGAGGTCAGGAGTTTGAGACCAGCCTGGCCAAAATGGTGAAACTCTGTCTCTACTAAAAACACAAAAATTAGCTGGGCTTGGTGGTACACGTCTGTAATCCCAGCTACTTGGGAGCCTAAGGCAGGAGAATCGCTTGAACCCAGGAGATGGAGGTTGCAGTGAGCCCAGATCACGCCTCCGCACTCCAGCCTGTGCAACAAGAGCAAAACTCCATCTCAAAAAATAATAATAATAAGATATAGGACAGTTCCACTGTCCCCCCACATTCCCCGAGGACTCTGTGTAGTCAGGCCTTTCCCCACCTCCACCCCCCAGCCCCACACCTAACCCTGGTCTGAATGATCTTATACAGCCAGTCTGCAGCTAACATCCTGAATGTGAGCAGTCTTTTTTAAAGAAGGCGGTTTGGGGCCAGGTGCAGTGGCTCATACCTGTAATCCCAGCACTTGGGAAGGCTGAGGCGGGTGGATGGCTTGAGCCCAGGTATTTGAGACCAGCCTGGGCAACATAGTAAAACCCCATCTCTATAAAAAATACAAAAATTACTGGTGGTGGTTACCTGTGGTCCCAGCTACTTGGGAGGCTGAGAAAGGAGGATCACTTGAGCCTGGGAGTTTGAGACCAGCTGGGGCAACATAGTGAGACCCCTCTCTATAAAAAACACAAAAATTAGCTGGGTACACCTGTGGTCCCAGCTGTTTAGGAGGCAGAGGCTGGGAGGATCGCTTGAGCCCAGGAGGTTGAGGATGCCATGATCTCCGATTGCACCACCACTGCATTCCAGCCTGGGTGACAGAGTGAGACTCTGTCTCAAGAAAAAATAAAAAAGGAGGTTTTAGTGTTCGCAAAGCTGGCCAGTTTCTGGTCTGGTGTCACCAGTGGAAAAAAGATTTCAGTGTTGTTGGCAAGAGAAGCTCACCCAGAGACATGCCCCATGAGGTCCCTGGCCCCCACCGGGGGGTGCAGGAGCAAGTGAGATGTAAGGGGTTATTACTCCCCGGTACAGCTCTGCCTGGAGGCCAGCTGCCCTGCTCCTTTCCATCTCTGAATTACAGGTGCTCTTCTAGTATTTTCTTAATGTAAGAAACAATATAGTTATACATGTGTGTGTTTTCTTAGATTGTTCTGTTTCTTATATTATTTAATTAATTCCTTTATCCTTTGGCTTTAAGTGAATGTGTTTTCTTATTAGATCATAAGCTCTGGGAAGGTAAGACCAACACCTCCGTCCTCCCGATTCCTTGGTTCGGCATGTTGTTGATCAGTCTACATCCGTGCTGGCTGATTGATTAAGTGCTCTGGTGCCCGTGTTCACTGAGGAATTCCAGAGCCCTGCCTAGCCCAAGGATACTTCACAGTGGGAATGCTGGCACAGCTGTCTTGGCAATCAGTAGCCCATCGTGTCAGTTCTTCAAGCCCAGAGAGGGTCAGTGACTTGTCCAGAGTCACACAGCAATGTATTAGGGAGGTCGGGCCCCTTCCCTGGGCTCTGCCTTTCCCTTGTAATGAAGAGCTCCTCACAGTTCATCTGCATAGTGTACATTTGCAAAGTCAGAAGGAAAAGGGCAGGGAGCTGGGCTTCCTTCAGGCAGGTGGCTGTTTTAAAGCTGGGGCGTGTTGTCACCAATCCGAGCTTGTTTCCATAGACGCAGCCAGCTGGGCAGCCAGTTCCTGTCAACCTGAGTCTTGGTGGAGCCTCGGGTCCTGGCAGGCTGCTTGGGGACCTCTGGGAGGAGGGCCGGTGCGGGGAGACCCAGGAGCCATGCCTGAGTCTTGGTGGAGCCTCGGGTCCTGGCAGGCTGCTTGGGGAACTCTGGGAGGAGGGCCGGTGCGGGGACACCCAGGAGCCATGCCTGAGTCTCTCTCTGGCCTACTTTTTGCCATAGTTTGAAGGGAAAGTTTGTGCAGTTCCCACCAAGCTTGCACAGGGGTGGCCTTCATCATGGCATGGGGAAGACCTCGTTTGGGGGTCTGCTTCGTGGTAGCTGGGGTGTCCCTGAGGAATGCCTGGCTTTCCTTACTATTCCTGGAGAATCTTAAGGATGAAAATGGAAGAAAGGGCTCACATCTTTGTTTTGTGCTGCAAGCCAAGCCTTGGAAGAACAAAGGATGCCAGTGGAATCTACGTCCTGTGGTTAATTTCATCAAGCTACTGGATCTCCTTCCTTTTCTTGCTGAGATTGGGGTTTGGCAGCTGCAGTTTGATGCCCAGTTCTGAGAGATCGCCCTCTTCCCTTGTCTGCTTTTCACGGGGGCATTCGGGAACTCCGCCTGCCTCACTTCAGGCTGGGATCACAGCTCAGTAGCAAAGGCTTTATGTTATCAACTAGTCAACAGATACATTGTTTGAAGAATTTCTGCGTTTTTAATTACCCCACGTAAGCCTTTGCCTTTGGACGTAAGGGTTATGAGGGGCATTTTGATTGCTAAATTCCAGCCTTGATTCAAACCTTAAAAGAGCAGAAACTGCTCAGAACAAGTCGTTAAAACCACAGACACAAGGGAAAGGTTTTTCTCCACCCCCACCCCCCCCCCCTTGTTTTTAAGTCTGAGTTGGAGGTGAAACTGTAATATTATCAAACATGCCAGTACACATTGTTTCCCAGGTCTGTTTTTGCATGAGTTCGGGTAGAAATGTACCCAGCTTCTGTTCCAGTAGGTGGAGAGAGATGTTTAAATCCTAGAAGCACTGTTCACCTAGCTTTTTAGGGTAGTGCAGGTTTAGCTCGAGGTTTGGAGGGCATCCAGAAAAGCATGAGTAAGAGAGAAAAAGGCTACTCCCAAAGCTACCAGGGTGGAGTGTCGCAGCCAGGACAGGAAAATTCCCAGCAGGGAAACGGCTCGTCTGTAAGGCAGACACATTGGATCATAGGTTTGCGTTCACAGAATAAGTGAAACAGAACACAAGTCTTTTTTGAGTTCTCATTCCAAGAGGCCCTGCCTCTGCAGGTGTGTCTTTTCGATCTCACCTTGTATTCAGTGTTATTTCAAGCAATCTTTTAGGCAGTGTCTACTCCAGACCAAAAAAACCTTGCTAAGAAAGAAATTTTGCCTTTGTTTTTTGAAACAGGGTCTTTCTCTGTCACCCCCAGGCTGGAGTGCAATAGTGCAGTCTCAGCTCAGTGCGGCCTTGACCTCCTGGGCTTCAGTGATCCTCCCACCTCAGCCTCCCTAGCAGCTGAGACCACAGATGCCCACCACCACACCCGGTGAATCTTTAAATTATTTGTAGAGACGGGGTTTCCCCATGTTGCCCCAGGCTGTTCTCGAACCACTCCTGGGCTCAAGCGATCCTTCTGCCTCAACCTCTCAAAATACTGGGATTACAGGCGTGAGCCACTGCAGATCCTGTGCTGCTTTTCGCATTGCAAAGACCACTTGAGCTCCTCCACCAGTGGCTCCCAAGCCTGTGCTCCAGCTCTTGGTGTCTAGGTGGTGGGAGCAACATGGACTTCGGTGCACAAAAACCTGGGTCCGATCTTGGTTCCATCGACGGCTAGAAGATCAGTTCCCTTCTCTGCACCTCCATTCAGCTTGGATGGGAATCTGTCCTTCCTGGAACGGCTGTGATTAGTAACCGAGACCACACCCACGTTCGTTGTGGCTTAACACGTGCACACAGGTACCTGGTGGATGTTAACCTTCCTCTCCATCCTGGTCAGTGCTGCTTTTTCTTTTGAGATAGAGTGTCACTCTGTTGCCTAGGGTGGAGTGCAGTGTCATGAACTTGGCTCACTGTACACTCCACCTCCGAGGTGTAAGTGATTCTCCTGCCTCAGCCTCCCAAGTAGCTGGGATTACAGGCACCCGCCACCACACCTGACTAATTTTTGTATATTAAGTAGAGATGGGGTTTCACTATATTGGCCAGGGTGGTCTCGAACTCCTGAGCTCAAGTGATCCACTTGCCTTGGCCTCCCAAAGGACTATTCCCAGCGCCTGGTCAGTGCTTCTGTTGAGTTCAAGAAAAATAACTAGTTCATCTAAAACTCTGAGCTGGCGGGTAGCTGCTCCCCGGGCTGCGGCGGCTGACGTGAGCGCTGCATTTGGCGTCTTTGGTGCGGTCTTGGTGTTTGCTCTCAGATGGGCTCTCTTCCGTATCACGTATCATATACACAGGATGCAGAGCGAGGGGCCCAGCTTAGATAATGAGAGTCAGAGGACTCGTGCAGCCACAAGTAGGTTGGGAACAGTGTCCCCTAATACGATGAGTTTTGGGCTTTAAAAAAAAAAAAGGCAGGGCACTGAGGAGTCTCCTTGGCACCTTTTGGCTTTTGGAGGCCCGTGATCTAACATTGGTCTACGCCGTATGCCCAGCACGAGACCTGCCACCAAGGCATTCCATACATATCATTAAATAAGTGAATTCATGTTTGTCATCCCAGCACTTACAGAGGCTGAGGTGGGGGGATCGCTTGAGCCCAGGAGTTTGAGACCAGCCTGGGCAACATAGTGAGACCGCATCTCTTAAAAAAAAAAAAAAAAAAAAGACAGCTTGAGCTGACACCGTTTCTTGCCAAACCATCCATTAGTGCTGTGACTCAGGAAAGAAAACTTGTTTCTTTCTTCAGCTGACCAGGCTCAGCCATCCCAGGTGTGAGTGACCCTGGCCGTGAGAGCAGGTAACTGATCCATAGGGAGGCTTGTCCCCACCCAGGGAGACTGTCCCAGCCCCTCTGGATGGCTTCTTCCCAAAAGGGGCACAGTAGGCAGGGTTGTGGGGGGGGAGGTTGTCAAGTCCAAGAGTCCTGCAGGATGGAGTGGGGAGGGGCGGAAGGGCTGCTGCCCTGCGCCACCGGCTGTTCATCTACCCCAGTGCCATGGAAACAGGACTGCTTTTCCCCAGGAAGGTGCTGATACATTTATAGGCCAGCATTCAACATCAGTGGTGTGCTCTGGCAGTCTCAGCGGTAAGACATAAACCCACCAAGGTCTGGGGGACGCACTGGGTGTTACCGTCCTGGCTCGCGCAGGAGACCCATGCTCCTCCGTGACTGTTTGTGGCCAGTGAGCCATCAGGTGACACCAGCGATCCAGTCTCCCGCCCCTCTCACTTCACAGATGAGGGAAGCGGGGACCTGCCTCAGGTCACTATTTGGCGAGTTTCTCAGATCAAACCCAGGAGCCAGAATCTTCCCACTGAGCTCCTAAGAGACCCTGGGTCCTTTCCTCCGGGCGGTCTGTGTCATCTGCTGTGGCGTGTCTGTTCGTGGGTGATTCTGCTTCTGTTTTTCAACCCTGTGCCTCTTGCTTGGTGCTTTTCCTCCTGGAGGGTCCCACAGACCTGCCGCAGCCACCCCAGGGCACCCAGGGAGCAGGTGGGCACGCCCATGTTGCTTCTGTGGCCACACTGGTGCAGGCCGTGTCACATGTCACCGCTGCCAGATTGACCCCGCTTGGTATGAAGTGAGAGGGCCTCTCTTTTGGAGCAAGGTGTTACAGTTTAGCCTGAGGGTGAAGCTGCTTCTTCCAGTACCCAGAGTTAAAACCAAATGCCACGAGAGTGAGAAAAGAAGACAGCATTGCACTTTCCCAAAAAGTGTTACCACCGGGTGCCACCCCACTTCCCAAGCCCGCTCTGGGACTCCTTCAACACAGTCATCTACAGATGACCAAGCCTGCAGGTCAGGGGCTAGGTGAGTGTTGGGCCTTGGGGTTGAATGGGGTCTTTTGCATACACGGGGCAGAGCGACCACTGAGTGGAGACATGAGGGTCTGTGCTGCAGTAGCTCCCACCCAGGCAGGCTCGGGCTCTGCACCTTCAGCCACAGGAGACACCTCCACTGTCATTCAGACACAAAGCACACCACCACCAAAACCACGGAATGTAGAGTTTCTTGCCAGGAAAATAAAATAAATTAAAAGTCACTAATACTTTTATTTAAATTGCGAGTACATTTCCCCTCTGTTGCACTTTGTAATTTATACCTGGGAGTTAATTTATTGTTATTTACAGTTGCACAAGGACTCACAGAAATGCCTGTGTATGGAGTGTTCTCTTCGTGCCAGGCACGGTCCCAGGTGCTGGGGAGGAGTCCCAGGTCCTCGTGGAGCTGATGTTCTGAACCAGAGTTGAGTCCCCAGGGGGGACTCCTGAGAGCCCAGTGCAGGTCCTGGCCAGGGCTGTGGGGATAGATGGGAAGACCTGGATGGTGGGAGGAGGAGGGACAGGATCTACAGGATTCTGCATGCCGGGCTGTAGGCCGAGAGGGAGGAGTCGGGGGTTCTGGTCTGCCAGGTTCAGGGAGCCAGACGTGCCTGCGATTCTGACCCTCCTGTGGACAGAAGCATGGTTCTGATGACCCTGTATCACTTTCAGCCAAGGCCGGGGACACCAGAGGCACAGGGCTTGGTTTAGGAGTCAAGACGAGGCCTTTGCTTATGTAAAGAGTGAATTCTGCACTTCCAGTGGGTGGGTCTGTGGTCAGGAAGGCAGTGCTTGGAGGGAGGTCAAGTAAGAATTGTGGATTTGGAAGGCAGGGGCATGGGAGGCCCCAGAGGAAGTCAGCGATCGGGGACCGAGGAGGTGACGGCATTCTCTAGTGCGATGCGTGGACAGACAGAGAGGAAGAACCAAAACTGGTCTTGAAGTGACAGGTGGGTCCGACGGCAGCTTTCTCAGGACTCGGGTCAGAAAGAGAGGGGCTTCCAGCAGGAGGGAAGATTGCGCTTAGGAAGAGAAGGGTTTTGCTGGGCATGGTAGCTCACTCCTATAATCCCAGCACTGTGGGAGGCCGAGGTGGGCGGATCACACCAGGTCAGGAGTTCGTTTTGAGACCAGCCTGGCCAACGCGTGAAACCCTGACTTTACACTAAAAATACAAAAATTAGCCAGGCGTGGTAGTGCGTGCCTGTATTCCCAGCTACTCGGGAGGCTAAGGCAGGAGAATCACTTGAACCCGGGAGGCGGAGGTTGCAGTGAGCCAGAATTGTGCCACTGCACTCCAGCCTGGGCAACAAGAGTGAGACTCCATCTTGGAAAAAAAAAAAAAAAGAAGGTTTTCAAGCAGGAGCAGAGGTCAGTGGCGGTCAAGCTTGTAGCCGGTGAATGCTGGGTTGGATATGGGGTGTGGAGTGAGGCCAGGAGGTGGTGGAGCAGGGAAGGCAAAAGAAAGATCACTCGCTGCTAAGCCTTTCAGACGAGTTCCCCATGGTCATCAGAGGTAAGCCTCGCTGTCTTAATTTTACAAAAGATGAAAGCCACAGGAGGCGTAGACTTGCTCGGAGAATTTGTTCTCGGTTCAGCGGACTCCAGCATCGGTGCTTAGCCCACGCCGCCACTGGGGAGGGCTCAGGGCCAGTGTTAAGTGAGACCAAGGAGGTACCACCTCTGAGCGAGTCTCTCCCTGAGCTCGGTGGTTAGAGATGGTACATGGTGAGGGGAGCCATAGAAAGCCGGGGATGTATCACCCAGGGTTTCAGCTGGGAGGGGACAAAGCTGATTTGGGAGGGAAAGTGGAAGCAGGTCCCAAGAATGAGGAATTGGTGACCAACCTTTATTTTAAATGTTTTGACGACATATTTAAAACTTGAGTAACTTCACTGTAAAATGGTGCGGTGGCTCATAGCTGTAATCCCAGCACTCTGGGAGGCTGAGTGGGGAGGATCCCTTGAGCCTGGGAGTTGGGAGGCCAGCCTTGGCAACATAATGAGACCGTGTCTTAACAAAAAATTAAAGAATTAGCCAAGTGTGGGGCTGGGTTCCGTGGTTCATGCCTGTAATCTGTAATCCCAGCACATTGGGAGGTCAAAGTGGGCGAACTGCCTGAGGTCAGTTCAAGACCAGCCTGACCAACACGGTGAAACCCCATCTCTACTAAAAATACAAAAATTAGCCAGGTGTGATGGTGCACGTCTGTAGGGCCAGCTACTCGGGAGGCTGAGACAGAAGAATTACTTGAACCCGGGAGGCGGGGGGCGCCACTGCATTCCAGCCTGGGCGACAGAGAGACTCCGTTTCAAAAAAACAAAAAAAAGAATCAGCCAAGTGTGGTGGCATGTATTATCGTCTCAGCCTCTTGGAAAGCTGAGGCATGAGAACCGCTTGAGCCCAGGAGCTAGAGGCTGCAGTGAGCCGTGATCATGCCACTGCACTCCATCCTGAGCAAGAGCGCATCCTATCTCAAAAAACAAACACAAAAAAACACCTCACTATCCTGGGCACGAGCCCAGGCTTAAATATTGACCCCTGTCCAACCGTAAGTTAATCCTGTGCACGGCTTCGTCAGTTTCTTAAAGAAACTGGTGCCCCAGCACAGGGCATGCCAGCCGTACGAGACAGGCAGCGACTTAGGCATGCGGGTGAAATGAACTCCATCTTCATCTCAAAGTGCACAATACAGTCTCTAAAATTAAAGAAAAGAAAGATTTATTTCCAAAAAAGCCCACAGTGAAATAATTGTCTCAGTCTGTGGAGAGAGCTAATTTGGACAGAATCACATATTTTGATTCCTGGGATTTTTTTAAAAGGAAACTTTTAAAGCAGTAAATGAAATATTTTTGGATGTAGACGAAAATGACTTACTTAGCCATTCCGCTGGCAGCGTGGAAAGCATGAAGACCAATTCTGAGTTAGCAAGGACACCTTCAGAAAGTTCGGCTTCAGGAATGGCTGACCCTAACCATCCACGCCCATCTTTCCTCAGGACCGTTGCTTACGGAATTAATTGGGACTAATTTCTGTTGCCCCCGGTCTCCAGCCAAAACACTCACATTTTGCCTCATCTGCAGAGACCTGGGCTGAGTTTTATCTCTGCGTCACCGCTGAGTTCCCTGCCCCCACTCTGTTAACAGAGCTATAATTAACTCACAGGACGCCAGGCAGCCAGATTCGGCGAGGCGCCAAGAAATCAGCCCCAATTACTGTATTCACATTGTCAGTAATGCCCACTTCACAGCTTCTGCTAATTTGAAATGGCAAGTTCCAACTTTCCATAGTAAAATTACCATTTTTGTCCTGTTCTATTACATGGTGATATTTGTCCATTATTTGGGCTCCGTAAACTCGGCATTATTGCAACAATTAGTTGTTGAGGGTTTTCTAAAATGATTTGCAATTACATGTCTTAAAAGGAAAACTGTCTGCTCTGATGGAGTGAGAATCCGTTCCCTCTGTGCCCTAGATCCACTTTAGGAAGTGGCTTTTCATAGGGGAACGTGGTGCCTTGGGATTTTATAATAAAGTCGAGCCTTTAAAATAAGGGCTAGCCTTGGAACGTTGCCTGCTTTGTAGATTTCCAGTGTTCAAGTTGTCTGATTTCTTTATAAAGATGGGGAAGTGTTTCCATCCCTCTGTCTCTCTGAGTTCCCTTGGGGCTGGGCCTCAGTATCTGGATCCCCTCAAGCCCTATCTTCCTGTAAGAGCCAAATTAGCCAGAGGCCACCGGTCGGTGGCTTCGCTGGGCATTGGTCTCTCTTCCCTGGCATTTGCTGAACCTCAGCCCACCCTGCCACAGTAGCACCCCATTGAGGTCCTCTGTTTTCCAGAGTTCTGTCCCTGAGGAATCACCTGCCTGAGTCCCTCAGCTTGGGACTGGCTGGCCTGATTGGGTTGTACATTTCATTCTCTTTCCTACAAAGAAAGCTCAGGAGGCACCATCAGGCCACTGTGCCCCTGTTGTGTTCGAGTACAGCCCAGGGACCAGCCCCCCTGGCCATCACTGCTCTGCAGCAAGATAAGCACAGAAGTTCAGAGTAGGCGTTTAGAAACATTCATAGCAATTTAACGTGATGGTGACATCCAAGTGGCATTTCAGTTTTATTTTACGGAGATCTCAGTCCACTGTGGACTGGAAATGTAATCTTCCCCACAGATTGTTTCACAAGCATTGGTCATTGTTTAACCTGCTCGTCTCCGATTGAATTTCACTGTGATTATTTACTGTAGATGATGAAAAGTGCTTGCCTTTTCTTTCTCTTTGAGACAGAGTCTTGCTCAGTTGCCCAGGCTAGAGTGCAGTGGTGCAGTCTTGGCTCACTGCAACCACTGCCTCTTGGGTTCAAGCGATTCTTGTGCCTCAGCTTCCCAAGTAGTTGGGATTACAGGCATTACCCAGGGTAATGGGTACTACCTGTTAGGATTAGTTAATTAATGGTCGGATTACCCAGGCTCGAGTACATGGCACAATCTCGGCTCACCGAAACCTCTGCCTCCCGGGTTCAACTGATTTTTGTGCCTCAGCCTCCCGAGTAGCTGGGATTACAAAGGCGTGCATCACTACACCCAGCTAATTTTTGTGTTTTTAGTAGAGATGGGTTTTGCCGTGTTGGCCAGGCTGGTCCCGAACTCCTGATCTCAGGTGATCTGCCTGCCTCAGCCTCCCAAAGTGCTGGGATTAGTGACATGAGCCGCCACACCTGGCCTCACAGCCTTTTTTGTTTTTCTTGGAGTCTTAGACCTTTTCTTTTATGTTGACTGGACCTCTGGACCCTGCCCTGCTACCCGCTGTCCTTTGCTCCCTTCCAGGACGCCATTCCTGATCAGCACTGGCTTTTACTTCCTCTTGTTTATTACCATTGCCTTAGAGCTGCAAGACTTCTCAGAGCCTTTAATAACTAGTGCAATTAATAACTGGTGTCCCCAGATGGATTGTTCCCAGAAACGCAGGAGCGGACACAGCATTAGTCTATGGGATATTGCTAAAGGAATTTTTTTGAGACAAGCAGGGGCTCGCCCCATCACGCAGGCTGGAGTGCAGTGGTCTGCAAACTACAGACCAAAGCCATGTATTTCTCTGCCTCCCCTCGCCCCCCAATACCTCGCAACTCCCAACTCCCAGCGAAGAATGACATTTACATGTTTAAGTGTATGAAAAATAAACAAGAAGTCTTCTTCTTCTTTTCTTTCTTTTTTTTGAGATGGAGTTTTGTTCTTGTTGCCCAGGCTGGAATGCAGTGGCACAATCTCAGCTCACGCAACCTCTGCCTCCTGGGTTCAGTTGATTCTCCTGCCTCAGCCTCCCTAGTAGCTGGGATTATAGGCATGCAGCACCATGCCCGACTAATTTTTGTATTTTTTAGTAGAAACTGGGTTTCACCATGTTGCCTAGGCTGGTCTCGAACTCCTGACCTCAGGTGATCCACCCGCCTCGGCCTCCCGAAGTGCTGGGATTTACAGGCATGAGCCACCACACCCGGCCCAGAAGACTTCTATTTTATGATATAAGAAGATTGTATGAAATTCAAAAAAAAAAACCCAGAAAGTTATATGAAATTCAAATTTCATTGCCCATAGTTTGTTTTTTTTTCAATTGTAGTAAAATACACGTAACATAAAATTTACCATTTGAGTGATTTTGAAATCTATAGCTCAGTGGCATTAGATACACTCAGTGTCGCACAAGCCATCACCGCCATCCATCTCCAGAACCTTTTCACCATCCCATACTTCACCTCCATAAATAAAGTTCTCTTGGCACTCAGCCATACTCATTTGTTTATCTGTTGTCTGTGGCTGCTTTTCTGGGCTACAGCGGCGAGTTGAGTAGTTGCAACAGAGACCATATGGCCTACGAAGCTTAAAATACATTTTTATCTTTTTTCTTTTCTTTTTTTGTAGAGACGAGGTCTCACTATGTTAGCCAGGCTGGTCTCAAAATCCTGGACCCAAGCAATCCTCCTGCCTTGCCTCCCAAAGTGCTAGGATGACAGGCGTGAGCCACCTAGAATATTTACTATCTTGATGCTTTCCGGTAAAACTCGGCCAGCCCCCGTCCTGGTGCATACTCTCCTTACTTCTTGGTTACCATAGCAACTGCCTAACTGGTCTCACTGCCTTCAGTTTCATTCCCTTTCTGTATATCTGCCCCCAGAGTAGTTTTTCTAAGATACAATTCTGATTAATTCCCAAGTTAAAATCCTCTAGCAGGCTGCGTGTGGTGGCTCACACTTGTGATCTCAACACTTTGGGAGGCCAAAGTGGGCAGATCACTTGGTTCTAGACCAGCCTGGGCAATGTGGCAAAACCTCATCTCTACTAAAAATACAAAAAACCAGCCGGGTATGGTGGCCCACGCCTGTGATCCCAACTACTGGGGAGGCTGAGGTGGGAGAATTGCTTGAGTCTGGGTGACAGGGGTTACAGTGAGCCGAGATCGTGCCACTGCACTCCAGCCTGGGTGAAAGGGTGAGACCCTGCCTTGAAAAAAAGCAAAAATACTAAAAGAGAAATAGACTAATGCCGTGTCGGGGAATACCAGTCCCAGGATAAATGCACCAGTTATTAAAGACTCTAAATTCTTACAGAAAAGAAACCTGCTGAACATGGATCAACCTTTCAAACTCATTGACTGTGCAAGTCTTCTTGGTTTTCCCTTTCTTATCGCCCATTCTCATAGCCTACATCAGGGATTGGCAAACTGTTTACTGTAAACAGCCAGATGGTAAAATACTATAGGTTTTGGCCGGGCCTATGGTCTCGTACAAAGACTCAACTCTGCTGTAAAGTAGCCATAGAAAATACAAAAATGGTGAGCGTGGCTGTGTGCCAATAAAACTTTATTTAAAAAGAGACAATCAGGCCCATTCGAACGCCTTTCCTGTAGAGCAGTGGCTGTCAAGCTGCGACCCAGACCAGCAGCATCACAGTAGCTGGGAACTCATTAGAATTGCAGATTCTGGCTGGGCACCGTGGCTCATGCCTATAATCCCAATATTTGGGAGGCCAAGGTGGAAAGATTGCTTGAGGAGTCTGAGACCAGCCTGGGCAACACAGCAAGATCCCATCTCTTTAAAAAAAAATAGCCTGTAGTCCCAGCTACTCGGGAGAATGAGGCAGGAGGATTGCTTGAGACCTGGAAGGTCAGACTTACAGTGAGCTGTGATCGTTCCACTGCACTCCAGCCTGGGTGACACACAGTGAGACCCTGTTTCAGCAATAAACAAAAGTGCAGATTCTCAGGTCTACTGCAGACCCTCTGAATCAGAAAATCCGAGGGCAGGCCCAGCTGCCTGTGCCTTAACCAGCCCTCCTGGCTAAGGCATAAGAACCCTGGTACAGAACCTCGAGTACTTTTCAGAACATGTCGACCTCAAGAATGAGTGCCAGCATTCGCAGGGATTAGTGGCTCTTTGCCATCTGGTCTCTGGCCAGTGTCCCTCCCTCATCTGGTGGAGGCGGTACTGATCCTGAACCACCTGCGGGTTCCGAGCGAGCCATCGTTCCTCCCTCCCACGCATTTGCACAAATGTGGTCCTGCATAAAATCACTCTCTTTTCCGCTGCCACCTTCTTCCTCCCTGCGGGTGCCGGTCTCAGCTCGGGCATACCGGGTCCTGGTGGCGCGTTGGGAGCTCCCACCCCTTCCCCCTGCCCTTTGCATTTTCCACCCCTGCACTGGATGTGCATACGTGAGCAGGGCACGTCTGCGTGTCCCTCTGCAGCCACTGACTTGATTGTCTGTCTTTCCAGGAGGACGTGGGCTCCGTCGGGGCATTTTATCCTTCTGTCTATTTGCAGCATGAAACAGACACCTCCGACATATGTGTGTGTTCCGTAAATGAAGGAGTGGATGGACCCCCTCGGAGCATCTCAGAGGCCATGAAGCCTGACTTCTGGCCGCCCTGCCCGCTCCTCACGTGTGAGGAGGACTAGGGAAGTCGAGTCAGCCCTTCAGGGGTTCCTGGTTTTCTACAGTTCTGGGAAGAGCTCACGGTGGAACCTCCCAGCCGTTTCCTCTTCTCCCCCGACTCTGACTCACTGATTGATTAATGTTTGGAAATTTTGACTCGTCTCGTTAGAGAAGGAAAAGGAGATTTTATTCTCTTCATTCTCCCTCCCTTTCAAATAAGTAATAAATAAAAAGAGGCTGGTGTTCCACTTGCTGCGGTAAGAAGCATTTAAATATATTCCCGGCTCTCATAATTGGTGGCTTCTTGCAGAAAGGTACTTATTAGAAGAAAAACACTTCCCTATGTGTTGGTGTTCAGCCTTCCCGTTGATGAAATGACACGGTGAGTTGGTGAGCGAATTTGCCTTCCCCCTTTTGAAAGGTATTCGTGGCAGCTCGTGCTGCAGGAATCGGGGGAGAGGAACCGCTTCTCTCTTAGTAAGAAATGCGGGGAGTGGCCTCTCCACCTTCAGAGTTTCAAAATGAGTTCACTACGGTGGTGAGGAACGGCGTCTCAAGCTGGCTTATTAAAGGCAAAGGAATAAGATGTTCTAGCTTTACCTCACGTACCAAATATAGATAAGGACCTGGATCAGCGGGGCCTCAGGCCCGTGCCAGGACGCAGTCGGGCCCGGCGCTGTCTGTTTTGTCTCACGACGTGGAGGGTTGAAGGGCAAGGACAGCCTTTGCTTTTAAGGGTTTTTTTCTGGGAAATGAAAAAAAAAAAAAAAAGGCATTTCTTCACTCCTCATGTGGTGATGTTGAAATTGTGGCTTGCAGTTTGACATTTGCCTTTTCATTCTCTTTATGGGCAGCGTGTCTGTAGGCCTTAGGCCCGTGGTTCTGGAAGGCCAAGTCAGTTCAGTATCTTTTCAAATTGTAACCCTCTGGCCACGGCAACATAGCGAGACCCACATCTCTACAAAAACCATTTTTTAAGTCAGCCAGGCACAGTGATGCGTACCTGCAGTCCCAGCCACTCGGGAGGCGGAGGCAGGAAGGTTGCCTGTGGAAGGAGTTGATGACCAGCCTGGGCAACAGAACAAGGCCCCATCTCTATGACAAAATGTAAAAATTAGCCAGGTACAGTGGCGCACCCCTGGAGTCCCAGCTACTTGGGAGGCTGAGGTTGGGGGATCACTTGAGCCCAGGAGTTCAAGGCTGCAGTGAGCTATGATGATGCCCCTGCACTCCAGCCTGGGTGACAGAGCGAGACCCTGTCTCAACAAAATAAAGGAAACGGTAGCCCAAAATAAGGGCTCGGTAAATATTAACCTCTGTAATTGTTCTATTATTCTAGTATTTGTGGGGCGTGATTATTCTAGTGTCTTTTGTACGTGTATGTATCACGAAGGAAAATCCCAAGGAAAAAATTAGAAATATAGTTAAAACTGGCTGGGGACAGTGGCTCACACCTATAAGTCCAGCACTCTGGGAGGCCGAGGCAGGCAGATCACTTGAGTGCAGGAGTTTGAGACCAGCCAGGGCAACATAGCAAGACCCTGACTCTACCATGTGCTGGCATTTGCAGTGCAGGCACCATCGCCCGTGGTAGCAGTGAGGAAGCTGTGGCTTAGAGCAACTTGCAGAATCACTGCTCTGGTCACACAGCGGCTCACAGCTCACAGCTGGCAACGTGAGCACACATGGTCTGCTGCTGCTTGACCGTGATAGGCTCCATGCCCTTCCACTTTGCCTGGCTCAGGATCGGATGCAGTACATAGAAGTATTTGAACTTGGAAGCTGTTGAAATGCCGGTTCAGGCCAGGCACGGTGCCTCACAGCTGTAATCCCAGCACTTTGGGAAGCCAAGGTGGGTGGATCACCTGAGGCCAGGAGTTTGAGACAAGCCTGGCTAACATGGTGAGACCCTGTCTCTACTAAAAATGCAAAAATCAGCTGGACGTGGTGGTACACGCCTGTGATCCCAGGTACACAAGAGGCTGAGGTAGGAGAAGTGCTTGAACCCAGGTGGCAGAGGTTGCAAGGAGCTGAGATCGTGCCCTTGCACTCCAACGTGAGTGACAGAGTGAGACTCCATCTCAAAAAGAAAAAGAAATGCAGGTTCAAGGAAGGGAGAGGATGATTTGTGGTCCCCTCTATGCCTCCTCCCTGGTCCGTCTTCTTCTGGTTAGACCATTGCTGAGACACGGGTGATTGGAGCATCAGGGAAAAGGCACTTCTTGCTTCAGTGATGATATTAGCAAGCACCTGCTACTTGTATTCCTTGTATTCCACCCATTTATTCTCTCATTCAGTCTTTACATCTCCCTGATGAGGAGGTGTAATAATATCATGCCCATTTTATAAACTTGAGGGAACTGGGCCCAAGCCACTCAGCCAGAGAGTGACAGAGCTGGGGTTTCACCAGGTCTAACTGCTCTGACAGCAGCCACCCTGATCTCCGCACCTACCCATTTCCCCGCTTCTGCAGTCTCGGGCGTCCCAGGGAACGCACAGCTGGGGCCTCTCCGTTAATGTGCACCCTTCCTGAGCCAGTTGAGAAGTCCCAGACTGTTGGGCCGGGTGTGGTGGCTCATGCCTATAATCCCAGCACTTTGGAAGAGTGAGGCAGGCGGATCATGAGGTCAAGAGATCAAGATCATCCTGGCCAATCTAGAGAAACCCCATCTCTACTAAAAATACAAAAATTAGCTGGGTGTGGTTGCGGGTGCCTGTAGTCCCAGCTACTCAGGAGGCTGAGGCAGGAGGATCGCTTGAACCTGGGAGGTGGAGGTTGCAGTGAGCTGAGATCTCGCCACTGCACTCCAGCCTGGAGAGAGACCGAGACTCCTCCATCTCAAAAAGAAGTCCCAGACTGTGTCTTTCTGGCTGGCCATGTCACTGGTCCCAAGGATGTTAAAGGCCTTCCACACTGACCTTCTCCACTAATGGGAAATCAGAAAAGGGAATCTGCAGAGAACATCGTTGCCAAGGGTCAGCCCTAGGGATTTGTAGCCACCTCTCTAAGGGAGATGGAAGACAGGGCTTAGAGTCTTGACGTTTGTCTTCTACCCTCAAGTAGTCGAATACTTGCAAAGCCCTGTTTCTAAGGTTAAAAGAAAAAGCAGCTTTGGGGGACAAAACATTCAGCGTGGCCGGCTCTCAGCATCTTACAGCGGTAGGGCTGAAATGCAGGCGCCCCCATTTGAAATGAGAATCGCGGTGCCTCAGTCAAACGGCAGCCTCTCCGGATGCCAGGCTGAGATCATTTCCATTTTCGTGCCGCGATCGGCCTTTTGCAGAGATAGACGGGTTATATTTATCACCAGCTAACTTATTAGCATGTGACACCAGATACACCAAAGTGTAACCTGACTCAAAAGGATACGTAGTTCATGACTCGATGGTGAAGCAGGTCAGTTTCAAAGAAAAAAAAAATCCCAGCACTTTGGGAGGCCGAGGCGGGTGGATCACGAGGTCAAGACATCGAGACCATCCTGGTCAACATGGTGAAACCCTGTCTCTACTAAAAATACAAAAACTTAGCGGGGCATGGTGGCGCGTGCCTGTAATCCCAGCTACTCAGGAGGCTGAGGCAGGAGAATTGCCTGAACCCAGGAGGCGGAGGTTGCGGTGAGCCGAGATCGCGCCATTGCACTCCAGCCTGGGTAACAAGAGCGAAACTTCGTCTCAAAAAAAAAAAAAAAAGAAAAAAAATCAGATGGATTACGGAATCAGCGTTTCCTTCAGAAAACTTCTTCAGGGGTAAATTGCTATAATAGGAATGTCCATTCAGACTGTTCTGAAAACAGTTACCTTAAGAATTTTATATTCCCTTGACCCAGCAATTCCACTTTTGAGAATCTATCCCAAGGAAAAACATTAGAAATATGGGGAAGCTGGCTGGGGGCAGTGGCCCACGCATATAATCCCAGCACTTTGGGAGGCAGAGGCGGGCAGATCGCTTAAGTGCAGGAGTTTCAAACCAGCCAGAGTAACATAGTGAGACCCCATCTCTACACAAAATACACAGTTTGCTGGGCACGTTGGTGCACAACAGTAGTCCCAGCTACCTGGGAGGCTAAGGTGGGAGGATTGCTTGAGCCAGGGAGGTGGAGGTTGTGGTGAGCTGTGATCGCACCACTGCACTCCAGCCTGGGTGACAGAGTGAGACCCTGTCTCAAACAAAAGGAAAAAAAGAAATATGGTCAACGCTTTTTGAAGAACAACGTGTATTATAGTGTTGCTGATATACTGAGAACAGGCAGGAGGGAACAAGGCTTAGTGTCTAGTATAGGGGAACGAACAGCTAAATGATGTTAAAATCATTCATTCAAATTGTCACGTACCTGTTATTGTTTCCCAAGAATATTTACTAACATGGAAAAGATGATGCTGTCACCTAAAGTGAGAGTTGCAAATGCTGTAAAAATTACAAATGCTGTATCGGCCTAGTTTTATGAAAGAAAGATGTTCAAAAATAGAAAGACAAGGTGAATATCTGGACATACAGCATAATAGATGCAAATACCCGTACCTCACACAAGGGCTGGTGAACACGGGGACGTTGGATTAAGTCTTAGAGGGATTATTTTTGGTTGGTATAAGACTGGCTTTTTTCTTTGTTACGCTTTTCTGTGTTTTGCAGGTTTTCTCTATACAGAATGTGACTTTTTTTTAGGCCAGGCGCAGTGGCTCACACTTTTCATCCCAGCACTTTGGGAGGCCAAGGTGGATCACCCGAGGTCAGGAGTTCAAGACCAGTGTGGGCAACTTGGTGAAACCCCATCTTTACTAAAAATGCAAAAAAATTAGCCAGGTGTGATGGCGGGCACCTGTAGTCCCGGCTACTTGGGAGGCTGAGGCACAAGAATTGCTTGAACCCGGGAGGTGGAGGTTGAAGTGAGCCACTGCACTCCCAGCCTGAGCAACAAAGTGAGATTTTGTATCAAAAAAAAAAAAAGAGAGAGAGAGAGAGGGAGAATGTTACCTTTTAATTTGAAAACAGGAACCTAAGAAAATGTTCAAATTTGCAATATAGAGTCTTTTGGGAAGACTCTTCATACTTACTGATTCATTCGCCAGGCATCTTTAAGTGGAAACAGTGGTTAAACATAAGAACTTGGAAGTCCCGCAGATCAGACCCGCAGCCTGCTGTTTACCCCTGGGTGAGTAATTCAATCATCTAAGTCTCCACGTCCCTGCCTGTGAAATGGGGCATCTCTGGTACCCGTCTCGTGGAGCTGCTGAAGTGATTCAGTGAGACAGAGTACATGAGCCCTTTTCGGGACCATGTTTCTGGAACACTTGCTATTATTAGTGGAAATATTGTCGCCATGCCATGTGCCAGACTCCGTGAGAAGTGCAGAGAGTGCTGACTGGGTAAAAGTAGCCCCCTCCTCCCAGAGCCTCCAGCCCAGAGGTGGGAAGGAGCACACAGGTAACAGAAACGACAGCGTTGAAGTCTGGTGTGTGCTGTGTGAGTAAAGTCACCTGCGCTGAACCCTGGGGGCTCAGGAAAGATGGGGCGGGGCTGTCGTAGGAACTGGACCCTACCCAGGAACCAGGATGTGGGCCCGGTCTGAAGCTGCAGCAGCAGCAGCAAGAGGTGAGAATATTTAGGAGATGGAACTTGGTTCCGTGGGAGGAGTAATCCACAAGGACTCTACGGTGGTCCTGAGAGGTTTTTTTGAGATGGAGTCTCACTCTGTTACCCAGGCTTGAGTGCAGTGACAATCTCGGCTCACCACATCTCTGCTTTTCAAGAGATTCTCCTGCCTCTGCCCCCACACTAAGTAGCTGAGATTACAGGCATGCACCACCTCACCTGGCTAATTTTTTTATTTTTAGTAGAGATGGGGTTTCACCATGTTGGCTAAGCTGATCTTGAACTCCTGGGCTTAAGTGATCTGCCCAGTTCGGCCTCCCAAAGTGCTGGGATTACAGGCATAAGCCACCACATCCAGCTGGTCCTGAAGTTTTTACAGAGGCATGAAACACAGAGTCCCTTTTCTGTCACAAGGAGATGATGCCTGTCTTTTCAGAGACAGTATTGCCCTGTCACCCAGACTGGAGCCCAGCGGTACAGTCGTGGCTCACTGCAGCCTCACCCTCCCTGGCTGAAGCAATCCTCCCACTTCAGCCCTCCTAAGTAGCTGGGACTACAGGCTCATGCCAGTCACCATGTCTGGCTAGTTTTTACATATTTTAGAGACACGGTCTGGCAGTGTTGGCCAAGCTGATCTCAAACTCCTAGGCTTAAGCGATCCGCCCACTTCAGCTTCTCGAAGGATTACAGGTGTGAGGCGCCACGCTCAGCCTTAGATAATTGAATGATGACTGCAGATGAAGGGAAAACAGACTCTTCCCGCAGAATGTTTTCCTTACCCAGCGGTGTGTGTGTGCACCGTGTATGTGTGCTTGTTTGCGTGTGTGTGCATGCACGTGTGCAAGACAGCGCGGCTAAACAAAGGTATACACCTGGCATCCTCATTCCCGAGTGGCCAGTGCTGTCTTCCCCTTTTTTCTTAACTCACCACCCAGGAAGTTTTCCTATTTCTCTTCCCCGGGTCTCAGATAAGAATTGCCTTCTTTCCTCCCAGCTGATTTGCTTTTCTTGTCATTATATGGCAAACCAGGCTACACTCCCCTCCTAAGGCAGGCGGTGGTTTGCTTTGGGCTCCGAGTCCTCAGCGTTCTGCCTTCGGATGCCAACCAGGAAAGCCGCCTTCCGCTTTTAGAGCCACATGGAGAAGTCATGGCAGCCCACGTAAGATCTCTCATTATTTCTGTGGAAACTGATTCTATCAAGGGTGGAGTGCATCGCCTTTAATTTCTTTGTGTGCGTGTATTTTTTCCCCCTCTCTCTCTCAAGAAGTGTATTCTTTTCTTTCCTGTTTGTTCCTGCTCGATTTGGGGAGGCTGCTGTTTCCGCTGCCTAATTAATGGGAAGGTGTCTGCGGAGGATTTCACTGCGTCTGTGCTCTCTGTTTGGACATGGTACAACCTGCGGACGCTTTTAAACAGTTACATGCTTGACTCTTTATAGGGTAATAACTCGATTGATTTTGCAAGGCTTTTTAGAGTACCATTGTTCTCTTGAACAGGTTTGCTGTTTTAACAAGACCTTAATGCCATCGAGACGCCTTCCTCTGGGACAGTTGCGTAATAATCGCAAGGTCTCACGAAATGAAATTGAGAGCGCATTTTCTGGCCGCCCGGTTGTTCGGCCTCCCTTCGGTGCTTTTTCCATGTTCAACCCAGTGACCGACTGTGTCTGTCCCGACGTTTCCTTCAATTCCATCGTTCGGAAATGTCTCCACAATCTTTCGTTTGAGCTTTTGCAGCGAAGTTCCTTGTGTTTGTCTTGCCCCACTTCAGGTTTCATTAATGAGATTCACGTATAAAGGAGAATGGGCAATTAATCGGATGACTGATTAATTGTGAGATTTTTTTTTTTTTTTTTTTTTTTTTTTTATACGGAGTTTCGCTCTTGTTACCCAGGCTGGAGTGCAATGGCGCGATCTCGGCTCACCGCAACCTCCCCCTCCTGGGCTCAGGCAATTCTCCTGCCTCAGGCTCCCGAGTTGCTGGGATTACAGGCACGTGCCACCACGCCCGGCTAATTTTTTGTATTTTTAGTAGAGACGGGGTTTCACCATGTGGACCAGGATGGTCTCGATTTCTTGACCTCGTGATCCGCCCACCTCGGCCTCCCAAAGTGCTGGGATTACAGGCTTGAGCCACCGCGCCCGGCCGAGATTCTTATTCTTACCAAGGATGGCTATAGAAGTTGTGGCTTCGGTTAAAATTCTCAATGAGGGCCAGGTGCAGTGGCTCACGCCTGCACGCCCACCACTTTGGGAGGCCGAGGTGGGAGGATCACCTGAGCTCAGAAGTCTGAGACCAGCCAGCCTGGGCAACATAACAAGACCCCATCTCTGCAAAAAAAAAAATTTTTTAATTAGCCAGGTATGGTGGAACACACTTGTGATCCCAGCGACTTGAGAGGCTGAAGTGGGAGAATCTATTGAGCCTGGGGAGGTCGGGGCTGCAGTGATGGTACCACGGCACTCCAGCCTACCCAACAGAAGAAGATGTAGTCTCAAAAAAAAAGACTCTCAGTGAGGTCTTAATATATGTTTATTAATGGTAAGCTTTAAGAGCCTGGTCATGCAAAGAGAATTTCAGTGAGATGGAAGATTGGTTTTTTTCCTTCTGTGCATTGGTGACAACTTTGATTCCACAGAAAGGCAATGTGCTGTCCTAGCAGAGCTGTGTGTGTGGAGTCTCAAGACCTTCCTCCCTCTCAGCAAATGTCTATTAAATGTCTCTACTTTGCCGGTGGCAGTGCCCTGTGATTAGAAGGTGAGCTCGACTGAGGCCTCCTGGTGAGCCCTGGGTGCGGCCGGAACCCGGGAATGTCTGCTTGCAGAGGGTGAAGGCTGAGAGACAGCCTTCTGCCTTGGGCTACACTGGGCGGTGCCGTCAATGAGACTCCCAAAAGGACTAGTTTGGGGAGGAAGGAAACTGACATTTGGAGAGTGTGAGTTACTAGTGGGGCCTCCAAGCAGAGCTGCCCAGGAGACAGGCTGGCCAGGAGGAGAGTGGCATTGGCCTGGGTGTAGATTTGGGAGCCACTCATTGGGAGACAGAGTCCATCTTTGTGTCCCTAGAGTCCCTGGGCAGCGTGATCATGGTAATACCGCTTATCCTCAGATCCTTGGCTTTCTCTATAAAGTACATGTAATAAGATCACCACATGGTTTGCTGTGAGAGTTGAAGGAGCTCGGTGCAAATGAAAGTGCCTCGTCCACTCTACACTAGCTGTAAATATCGGTTATTGTTAGGATACCGGCGTTCAAATGTAATTTGCCAAAATGGTTTGGGAAGCATTGCATACTTCATTCCACGTGAGAGCTGCAGCGCGTGCGATCGTCTGTTTGTTCATTTAGTCACAATATTGATCAGTATAGGGCGACTAAAGCAGTATATTTTAAAAATCAACCAGGAGCAGCCGTTCTTTGAAGTGTTACACAACCATTAAAAATTATGTTTGGCCGGGTGCGGTGGCTCACGCCTGTAATCCCAGCACTTTGGGAAGCCAAGGCGAGCGGATCATTTGAGGTCAGGAGTTCGAGACCAGCCTGGCCAACACAGTGAAGCCTTGTCTTTACTAAAAATAGAAAAAGCAGCTGGGTGTGGTGGCAGGCACCTATAGTACCAGCTGTTCCAGAAGCTGAGACAGGAGAATTGCTTGAACCCAGGAGGCAGAGGTTGCAGTGAGCTGAGATGGTGCCAGTCTGAACAACAGAGTGAAACTCTGTTTCAAAAAAAAAAAAAAATAGGTTTGCAGAGAGTTTGTGGTGCATGGGTCAGGTTTAAGCAAAAAGAAAGCAACTTAGGAAATGTATACAGTATTATTACAACTACAAAAGAAACAGGCAGAAGAAAACCCTGGAAGGAACCATGCCTAATATTAAGTCCCCTTTAGGGAACAGGACTTGGAGTCGTTTTCCTTTTTCTTTAAATTCTTCTGTGCTTTAAACATTCTCTACCGTGACGTGTTCCTCCTGTGACCAGGAAGATGGAAACTAACAGTAACAGCAGAACAACCCTTCCCCCCACATGCAGGTGGGAATTAGATGTCTGAAGAACTGAAAAGACAAATGTATCGATTTCGTCTTTTTAATATTTCCCTGCAATTCGTCTTGCTTTAATCACCGTTTTCCCTCTGGCCGTGGAGTCACAGACCTAACTGCACAGAGAGGATGTGAAGGAAACCAGGTCGTCCCTACGTGGAGATTCAAATCTCTCTACGCTTCTGGGATCTGCCGTTTAAGTTTTAGGGAAATGAAAACTTGAACTTGATTTCAGCTAAAGCTGTTGTGTATAAATCTAACGTGTCTATTTAGCGAAGGTTTTTAGCGGTCCATAGAGGCCGGAGATAACGAACTGTTATTTGTCTTGTCTCTTCCACGTGTCTGCCTTGGGTTCTGGTTTGTAGGCAAATGTAAATGCAGATACGTGTGTGCCTGTCATGTCTGAGAGGATGATAGACGCGAACCAAAGACTCTTTTCTGGAAGAAATGGATTTCTCCTGTGCTTTTAGAATTCTCCAGTCCTCCCATTCATGTGAGCAGTAGCCATCATACCATGTTTGTCAACCCCAGATTTCTCTTTTCTTTGTTTTTTTTGAGACAGGGTCTTGCTGTCTCAGTCCAGGCTGGAGTGCAGTGGTGTAATCACAGCTCACTGCAGCCTCCAACTCCTGGGCTCAGGCAGTCCTCCCACCTCAGCCTCCCGAGTAGCTGGGACTGCAGGTGTGCACCACTGCACCAGGCCGATTTTTGTACTTTTTTTTTTTTTTTTTTTTTGAGACGGAGTTTTGCTCTTGTTACCGAGGCTGGAGTGCAATGGCACAATCTCGGCTCACTGCAACCTTCGCCTCCTGGGTTCAGGCAATTCTCCTGCCTCAGCCTCCTGAGTAGCTGGGATTACAGGCACGCACCACCATGCCCAGCTAATTTTTTGTATTTTTAGTAGAGATGGGGTTTCACCATGTTGACCGGGATGGTCTTGATCTTTTGACCTCCTGATCCACCCGCCTTGGCCTACCAAAGTGCTGGGATTACAGGCTTGAGCCATCGCACCCGGCCAATTTTTGTAGTTTTTGTAGAGACAGGGTCTTGCCATGTTTTCCAGGCTGGACTTAAACTCCTGGCCTCAAGTGATCCTCCTGCCTTGGCCTCCCAAAATGCTAGGATTCCAGGCATGAGCCACTGTGCCCAGCCCAATCTCAGCTTTCTGGTTTGGCCCAAGGGATTTACTTTCAAAGTGTAGATAGAGTTTGTGCATTTCTGCTTTTGCGGTCTCCTGGTTTCCCCCGCCAATGCCACCTCTGATGCCACTTGTCACCTTTCTCCAAAACCACCCCCTTCTTTCACCTGGCAGGAAAATTCCCTGCCCAGCCTTCACCCCCAGCATCTATTTTAATGCCAGAAAACGTGCTGTCCTCCCTGTATTTGGCTCGCCTGTCCTCCCCCTCACTGATATTTTCTGCTCATTGGGTGTGGGAGGAATCACGTGGGTTAGCTGCTCATGGGTCCGCTCCTGTATTCACACGCGGCCATGGCGACCCAATGTTGGATTCCAGCGTGTGATGCTGAGTGAGGCAGACATGGCTCCCGTCCCTAGACCATGCCCAGAAGTTCATCCTGGATCCGGGGCTCTGGCTTTGTCCACTCCCAACTCTTCTCTACTGAGAGGTGACTGCTGCTGGTTGGTAGGGTGGGAAGTGGAGGCTGGAGGGCATTTCATATGGCGGACAGAGGGCAGAGTTGAGTCCTGGCCTGACCCAGTCACTCAGCAGCCCATTTTCTCATCTAAAAATGGAATAGTAATCAATTACTGAGTATCTGTCAGCACAAGCCTATATATATTTTAGGAGACAGGGTCTTGCTCTGTTGTCCAGGTTGGAATGCAGTGGTGTAATCACGGCTCCCTGCAGCCTCAAACTCTTGGGCTCAAGCATACTCCCACCTCAGCCTCCTGATTTTCTGGTACTACAGGTAGGCACCACCACCTCCAGCTAAATTTTTAATTTTTTGTGGAAATGGGATCTCACTGTGTCACCTAGGCTGGTTGTGAACTCCTCACCTCAAGTGATGCTCCCACCTCACCCTCCCAAAGTGTTGGGATTACAGGCATTAGTCACTGTGCCTGGCCGAGCCAATATTTTAACTGGCCCTTCACCTGCATAATTTCACT